GTCACCCACCAGCATGGCAGGGGACAGAAAGGTGGCCCACATGAGCTAGAGTTTGACTTCCCTAAAAAGAGATTTTTCTGAGGATACCACCTGACTCCAAAGGAGGCCTCAGCTTCTTCAAGAAAAAAAAGAGAGGGGTCATTACCCCCCATTTTCATTCTTTATTGGAGGCTGTTTAGGACATGGGCTTGAGTTTGAATACCAGCTCTGACACTAACTAGTTTTGGACCCTTAGGGAAGATTAACTTAACTTCTCTGACCTCAATGTTGTCATATTTAGAGAGGATTAATGATAATAGGACCTACGTATATGCTTGTGGTAAGGATGAGTTTATGTCGAGTTGAATCGAATGAAATTGCCAATATTCAATGGTCTTTGACCTAGAATAGAGGCAGTTTCATGAGGTTCATCCTACAGTGCTTTCTTCCTGGCACATTGGAGAGGCTTGGTAGAAATGAGCTGTTATCACAGTGAGCATACAGCAAGCACTTACTATGAACATTTAGAAAATAAACTGCCTTGTGTTCTGGAAAATCCCCCCTGAAGATTCTTACTGATAGGTGACTCTTGTTTCCATATGCTAAAGTTCCAAATAGGAACATGTGCCTGAAAGAAATCTGGCTCTATATCACAGCTCCACCCTTAGCCAAGTCATCCCCACACCAAGCCGTCTTTCAGTGAGACAGTAGTCCCTCCAAGGGGAAAAGCAAGGCCAGCCATTGCCATCTGTGATGTGATGTTGAACTCACTTGCATCCCCTTTCCGCCTCCATCCAGGCCTCCCATTGCTGTCTCACGCAGAGCTCACCTTTCTGAGAACACTCTATGCCTTGGACTGACATTGAACTCTCTCTCTCAGTCTCTCTAATGCATGCACATTAGAGTTTCTCTTCTCTGTCTCAGGCCCTCTTAGCAAGCCAGGTGTATACTAGCTAATCTCATTAGCCAAAGGAATTGGTACTATTTTTATTTTGTTAGAAGTTTACAAAGCTGTTACCAAAATCAATGACCATTTCAGACACCTGGCAGGCCCACGGGGGGCGGGGGGAGGATATTTTTACCAGAAGGACTGCTGGGAGCCCAGCAGCTCAGCCACATCCCACCTTGAGGTCCCTCTGCTTTAGGCCCTGGTAGGAAGTCTGTGGCAGCTCCGAAGCCAGGAAGCCCGAGGTAGACTGGGAGCAACAAATGGTCTGTAGGAGTCCCACCAAGAGTAAGGCAGCTATAGTCAAAGGCACGCAAAAATAAACAAAAATTATGTGGTGGTTAATTTTATCAGAGAACATTTTCTTCACAGATACTATTTCCTTTCACTCTCCCTCTCATGATTTCCCTCAAACTGTAGAGATTTATCTACCAACCTCCCTATAGTATCCCCCCTTCTCCCTTGTCATCTGCAAAGTGAAAGGCTTGTGTTTCTCACTGCACATCAGACCTAGATCACGGGAGATGAGAGGTATCTTTAGGATCTCATCAGGTATCATAGGCTAGGTATCAAATGAGGCTGTATGTTTACAGAGATGCATCTAATTTGGGGAATGAGGTTTGAATTCTGCACCAAACATGGGTTAAAAGTTAAGAAGCCAGACACAGACGAGAACAGACTGAATGATTCAATTTATGCGGAGCTCAAGAGCAAGCAAAACTAACTATAGAGATAGAAATGAGAACAGTGGTGGTTGGGGGGAGGGGGGGAGTGGGGAGAAGTGGATTGACTGAGAAGGGGCACCAGGGAACTCTGTGGTGATGGACATGTTCTACGTCTTTATTAGCGTGTGAGTTACACAGGTGTGGACATTTGTCAAAGTGCATGGACAAATGCCCCTCAGAACAGCACTCCCAGCGAGGAAAGAAGGCCTACGAGTATGTCATGGAAGAGAGAAGAGACTAGATGTTCCTTACACTGCAAGTTACTCACTAGGCCAGTGATGGCGAACCTATGACACGTGTGTCAGAGGTGACACGCGAACTCGTTTTTTTGGTTGATTTTTCTTTGTTAAATGGCATTTAAATATATAAAATAAATATAAAAAACATAAGTATTTGTTTTAGTATGGTTGCAAATATCAAAAAATTTCTATATGTGACACAGCACCAGAGTTAAGTTAGGGTTTTTCAAAATGCTGACACGCCGAGCTCAAAAGGTTCGCCATCACTGCACTAGGCTGTCCATGCAATTGACAAACATAAAACGTCAGCCAATTTTCCAGGCAGTTTTAAAATCCAGGGACATTTTTCTTCATGCATGCACTGCCTATGTATTTTCAAATGTTTACAGAGTATTTATAAAAAGTAGTCCTTTGGGGCAGTTGTAATTAGGAAAACTGGCAGCGAAAATTAACACATACCATAAAAGAGGGATAATTACTCCATTGCCATAGACAATGTTATTATCAAATGGTATTCACCAAAGAATCCAATTGGTCCATACCAGCGCAGTCTTGTTGTTCTACGAAAGATCCCTCTGCCTTGTTACCCTGAGGATGAAGCTGCCACAGCCCAAAGTGATATGCCATATGGTACTGAACATCAGAATCAAAATGAGGTCCTGCTTTTTGTGTGAGATGCTGAAATTTATTAGAAAATCAGAAAGCCTAATTTCCACCAAGTTCCTGAGCCCTGCCATCTGCTGCATGAGAAAGAAAATGGAGATTTTTTTAAAAAACCATTTACTTATTGTGAAATGTGAGAGTGCTGATGGGTCTGAAAAAGCAGGGCTGGGGCTGAGTGGAGGAGGTCCATGAGAGCCAGAGCAAGCCCAGTTGGCAGGGAGAAAGAAGACTGTCAGCTGAATGGTGGCAAAGTGTTGGGAAGCATAATTATGGAAATCACCTATCCCAGAGCCTTTTTTCTCCTCCTGACCACATGTTCCTTCCTCATAGGAGCAGCACATAGGGAAGCCGGCTTTTGAGAATAAGCAAAGCCTCGATTTCAGAGAGGAAGACGGGGGCGGGGGCGGGGGCGGGGGGCGGGGGCGGTTTTCCAGTCTCTCCAAGTTATAGGTCTCTCGATGGAGGGGTGGTGCAGGTAATTTGGGAGGAAACAGAGAAGACAACCAAAAAAAGCTTAATAGATGGAGAGGCAAGGGGAGCTTTCTAAGGGGAGGTGCAGAAAGAGGTGGAGGCAAGAGTGGAGAGGGATCCCATGGGGCCGGGGCGCAGAGCTGGAGTGTCTACTGGGAAGGGAGAAGCCTTTCAGCAAACTGTGTGGAATTTTACTGTATGTGCTGGGTGTTGCAGATCTAAAGATCAAGATGCTTTGGACTTTAAGGAGAGCATTCATTTCAGGGGGCTGCCCCAGTCTATGGCATTATTGGGCTCATGAGGTGCTGCCTTGACCATGAGTCACTTTCATAGGTCTTGTCCCTAAAGGGTTCACCTAACCCTTGATTTTATTGTATTTATTTATTTTTATTCTTGTTTTTACACTAAAGCTGGCATGTCTATTGGAATTGCTGTAGGCAATATTTGTTGGACCCGGTAGTGGCTGGGTTTCTCGCTTCTGATCGCACTGCTCAGAGTATAGACCTCTTTAGAATAGCTACCGGAGCCTGAAATGGAGCTGGGATGGGGAGGAAGGTGAGGTTTTAAGGTGCCAGGGAATTTCACACTATAGAGTCCAGTTCTGGTCAAGGCAGGTCATTCTTGGATCATAGCCAAGGAAGTTCAATTAAAGAACTAAAAAGACCTCTTAATAGGCAATCTCATCTAAAAGGCAGTCTTCCAGCAGGACCCCAGAGGCATCCTCAAAGACAAGTTCAGGGCTCAAGGGGTGCTCTGGGCCAAGTGCCTCACTGGCCACCTGGAGCACAGCTGATACCCTCAGCCTTTGTATTCCCCCATGCTCCTCATGGTGCCGTTACACAGGTAGAGGACCCCCAGTGAAATGTCAAATGAAAGGATAAATGATTTTCAAAAGCCTGCCAGGTTTCAGGAATCCTGGCCTCCACTTCAGCCAACCTAGGAAAGAATGCCTCCTGGAAAGTCAGACGCCAGCCTCACTGAGGAGGACTCGGTGGGAGAGGGAGCCAAGAGTTCCTGAATTTGCAGCAAGATTCAGAGGGAAGTGACAATAAGCCCCAGGGTCCAGCATGATCGGACATGCTTGTTTTCTAAGCCTTTTCCCACAGGAGGGCAGCAAACTGCAGAGGGCTGCTTCCCCGGTGCCCTGCAGGCCAGGGGCTCCACGCTGGCAGAATGGTGCTTGTTGTGTTGGCACCTCAGGGTTTCGGACGGAACTGCCCCCCGGGTTTAGCATTAATGATGTGCACCGCTGGGGAGCCTGATGGCAGGTCCCACACATGCACCCACGGGACAGCCTTACTTTTTGTTCCCTCTGCGGTGAAGGGACCAACAGCTAGCTCCTTGCCTGGAGGCCAGTGATAAGCTGCTGATTTCCCTGTGGACACCCGGACCTCTACAAGATGGGCTTCCGGAGATGCTGGGGATTTGCCTGAATAACGGGACTGACAGGACGTTCTGGGGCCCGGCGCGCCTCCAGGATTGCCTGGGCCTGAAGACAGCTGCTGCGGCAACATGGTAAGCAGTCCTCAGCACCCCTGTCCTGACTTCCTCTCAGCCTGCATCTGTTGAGCCTCCATTGCTCAAAATGCATACGGTCTAAAAATAGTTGTCATTTTTTGAGCATTTTCTATGTAACAAGTGCCTCATACCTATTATCTCATTGAATCCTTACTACAACCATGTGAGGAAGGGACTATTCCCATCCCCATCTTCCAGATGAAACAGCTGAAGATAAATGAGATTTGGTGAAGGGCCAGGGTCAAACAGCTGGTGAGATGTGGGATCAGCAATCAACCTGTGTAGTCTGACTCCAGACCATATGCCATAACCACAACAACAATCCTTCCCAAGAATAAGCACTATTATTTTCAGTTTAGCTCATGACTCTACTGGGTTCAGAGAGGTTAAGTAATTTACCCAAAGTCACACAGCTATAAGGCATAAGACAGAAACCCATCTAGCTCCAGAGCCCAAGCTATGCCATCTAAGTCACACCTCATTCTAGACTCACTGAAGCTGTGGGACGTCCCTCAGCCAGACGGCAGGCACAGTAAGGGGGATTGGGTATAGAATGTGCAAAGTCGTTTTTATAAGAGAAAGATTTCGGTAAGCCTTAACAGTTTGGTTAAGGTTCTTTTGAACACTGATGATTCTCAGGGATGTCACGACTACTCAAGTAGCCCTCAGAAGATGTGGGTGCCACCAGCCAATACGAGTCCCTACCTTCTGGATGATCTAACCAGCTTAACAGTGCTAGTTCCTGAGTGTTGGAGAACTTGAGTACTGTTCATCATTCTTGCCCATTCCAATCAGGCCCTCAAATGCGTAAGGGCTGTGTCCAGGAAAATCCCTGCAGCCCGGTGTGTGAGAGGCAAATTCAAGAGGCCAAGGGCATACACAGCAGATTGTGCAGGACCAGCCTGCCCGTTGCCTTTTTGCTCTCTCCAGGGGCATGTTTATAATTGGCCACGGCGGGAGGCTGCCCTCTAACCTATATGCTCAGGGTTCCCACAGGTTAGCTGTGCCACCGGCTTCAGGAAAGACCGACTGCTGTCCCGTGTCTCACTGACCCCAAATCCATCAAGTTGAGAAACATCATCCCATGTGATTATGACCCAGCAGCAGACCTCAGACTCCCCCGTGCCTCCGTTTCCTTTGTCGGACACTAGAAGGGCGGGCGTCACTAGCACTCAGGGCTTAGGCAGTGGCCATGGTGTTTTTCTCTGTCTCAGAGCTCTTTTGCAAAGATTGCTAGGTTACACAATTTATATCCTTGTTAACGTTGTATTAATTTTTTTGGGGGGGTGCCGTGACTTGGATACATTGTATTAATTTTAAATGCCTGGAGGTATTTAAAGGTTTTCATGAGTTCAGATTTGAGGCTTCAATTTAATACTTATTCATTTATTAAATACCTGCTATGTCCCGGGCACTGTCTTGGCACAGTAGTCAAAATAATAGATAAATTACATCCACTTCCTGAGCCCAAAAAACTTGTAATTCAGCAAAGGGGAGGGAAACAATTTATATGTAAAACCAATATATGTTATGTATAACATTGTTTATATATATTATATATATTTCTTTTACATATGTGTATGTATTGGTTCATGTGTAGATAGATAAATAAGTAGAAAGAGAGAAAGGAAGAAAAGAATGTTCATATGATATTTTAACAGAATAATCTTGTGGTGATGACAACACAGAAGGGCTGAGCAGTTAGAGTCCTAGACAGTTCTAGAGAGCGTTTTGAAAATCTCAGGCAAGGGTGTGATTTTGTGAATGGGTCACACATGGGGGCAGGTGGAGCCAAGAAAAGATGGGGAGAGGGGTGAAGACTTACACCCACAAGTCATCTCCCCCTTCAAGGGGTGGGAGGGGGGGATGGGGCATATATTCTGTTCCCAGGAAAGAGCTGCTAGAGTTTAGGCCCCTCTCCTTCCTGTTGGCATTGGCCTCTTTCCCTTTAAGAAATCCTCATATATGAACGTCCAGACTTATAAATCTTGAGGCTGATATTTGTGAGACCGAAGGATTCTTCACTTTCTGAAGATAACTGAGCTCCCTTGGTACTTCCAAATGTAACCCAATCACCCACAAGCCCCTAGGTTGGGGGCTCCTGTGCTGTGGAAAGAGGCGTGGCCTGCGTGGGTGGGCCTGCCCTTCACTAAGCAGAGGCATTTATGGGCGCTCTTAACAATTTTGTTTTAATCTGGAGGGAGAGAGGAGGCTCACAGATTAATGAGCAATCCTAATAGAAAACGCTTCCTGTTAACCCCAGGGCTCTTTATTGTTGTTTTCTCTTCTTTATTTTCCTTCACTTTTTATGTCGTCCTCCACACACACACCCATAAAGAAAATTGTCCTTTCAGGGCCTTTTTGAGTTGATATGAGGTGAGTGACCTTGTTGTCCCCACCCAGAACACCCCTTTTGCCCCTGTTGTGTTTTTTAACTTGTTCTGACCATGTAATTTCCTATGTTGGAGGTGATCACAATGAACCACTTCTAATTCTAATCTGATTTCAAATTTAGTTGCTATGTTTTCTCTATGGAAATGACTTTTGCCCAAGTCAGGAATGAGCACAGCTATTAAAGGAGAAAACTCATGAGAAATAGGGAAAAGGTGTAATTTTTCCCCAAGAGGACACCATTGCCCTTGTGCTAAAGGGGCCACTCCGATGTCAGGGACTGAGGATTTTATGCTTCGTTATCCACGCTTTCCCTCTCGTTTTGTGTTCTAGTACGGATTTATCAACACCTGTCTGCAATCTCTTCTAATAGAGAAATTTGGTGAAGAGACATGGGAAAAATTGAAGTAAGTATATTACAGGAAAGATGAATTTCTGGTACAGCTGATAAGCTTCCAGTTTTTGAGGGTTATGGGTTTTTATGAACCTTTTGATTAAGCCAGTTACTTGTTGCTAAGGAGATCAATTCAACTACCTTAAACATACCTATAAGATACAGAAAAACTGCTACAGCCTATCTGCTAAGGAAGGTATCAGCCTCCATCTCTAAGGCCAGCCCTAGAACAGGGTCCCAGTGTGAATAATGCCAACATTACGCTACCTTTAATTCCACGAAAGAAGCAGCAACTGCATTATTTCCACCGCAAATAAAGCTGCTGAAATCCCACAGAAGAGGGAATATATCCCCTTTAAATGTAGCCAGAGTTCCTCCTTAGGTATTCTTCAGTTAACACTACAGGTTGTCCTCTCTGCCTCCCTCTGGTAAACTCTTCACACTGTTATGTACACTGTTATAGATCTCCATCTAGTTGCCTGTCTGATTCCTGCAATCTTGTGATTTTCCTCTGCTTTCTTGGAAGCTGCCAGCCTTAAAATGTTAGAGGATGAGGCTGAAAGGGTCTCAGAAATCATGTGGGCCTATGGAGAAAGAGGAATACAAAATTATAGAAAAAATAGAGGCCCGGTGCACAAAATTTGTGCACTCAGGGGGGTGTCCCCCAGCCTGGCCTGTGCCCTCTCACAGTGCGGGAGCCCTGTGATCGATCGCCCCAAAGAGGTAGGGCCTGCCCACCCACCCAGGGCTCCTCGATGGATTGTCCCAAAGTGGTAGGCTGGAGCCAGGGGTCCTGCCTCAGGACCGTGCATGCAGCATCAGGTCCCCGCCCACCCTCGTGCCCTTTGCTGCACATGCAGCCCCGCCCACTCACTCACACCCGCTGCTCACGCAGCCTCCTGGTGATGGATTGTGACAGCGTGAGGGCATCACAGCGTGAGGGCATCACAGCGTGATGCATGAGGGTGTGATGAGAATTTGTGTATTAGATCTTTATTATATAGGATGATTAGTTTCCTCAATTAATGGCATGCACATGAAAACTATTAGGAACTGCTTTGCCTATTAAATCTCTAAAAACTTGAAATTATAATAGCAAATTCTGATTAAGAGGTGGCAAAACGGGTAACTTCTGATGACATTATAAATCAGTGCAGCCTGTTTGGACAGCAATTCAACAACATGCACCAAAAGCTTTGAAAATAATGAAATCTTTTGAGGTAATAATTCCATTCTTGAGAATTTATTCTTGAGAATCTATTCCCATGGAAACAC